CATACATGTGAATGTGTGACTGAGGAGTTGTGGATTACTCTCAACTCCAACTGACGTGACATGAGCATACATGTGAATGTGGTGATAACTCAGTAAGTTCACTACACACACTTAGAGCAGGCTGGTGATCAGAAATGGATGGAATCAAGAAGGGGAAAAGACGCTTAAGAAAGCTAGAGGCTAGCCTTTACAGTTCCTGGCGAGATCTATTCTGTAGAACTGCGGCTCCACAAAGGTCTGAATTCATTCATGCATTTCACTGTCTAGTATGTGTGAGGCACAGAAACAGATTTGGTCCCTGCCCTTCTGAAGCTGTATTTGACTTCCATGTTCAACAAGCAACCTGATTCCTCAGCATACTCCTATTAGAAAAGGCATCTTCATCGTTAAAGAGGACTTCCAATGAAAATTACTAAATTAATACACAATAAGTATGTGACAAAATGCTTTCCAATGTAAAGCAGAAAAATGTTACTTTTCTGGCATACTGGGCACCATTCATTAGTTTTAAAGCCAATGAGTTAACTATTCTTTCCCCAAAATTCTACTACCTAACAATTAAAAACAATTTTAGATGGTGATGGTCACACACATCTGTGAATATACTAAAGAACATTGAAAAACATAATTGCAATGGATAAATTGCATAGCATGTAGATTAAATCTCAATAAAGTTGTTTTTAAAAAGACCAATTTCAGTTAATAAGATACTTCATATGTGTCAGTGGAGGAGGAAGGTAACTCACCTTTGTTAAGTGCTATAGGTAGGACCAGATGTCTAGACAGAACTGGAGGACTTGAGATATCTGCTATATCAATAAATCCCACTATTTCCAAATCTGAAAGGAAAAAATCAACATAATATTCACTCACGCTGTAAGAAAATACATTGTTTTTCATATGCTAGATTTCACAAACAAAATGCTTAGATGTAGATTTCAAATATAGTAACTTCAATAAGAAAGTTATTAGAAGCTCCTGTGCATAACGTAAATAATCTGCATTTTAAGTAGCTCAGGGAATAGCAGACATTGCCTCTCAGGAGGGACCAGTCCCTGGAGAAGGGCATCATGTGCTTGGTAAAATGGAGGATCAGCGAAAAAGACGATGACCTCCAACAAGATTGCCACAGTAGCAGCAACAATGGGCTCAAACGTAACAAAGGTGAGGATGCTGCAGCATCAGGCAATGATTCATTCTGTTGTACATACTGTTGCTATCAGTCGGAACCAACTCGATGGCACCTACCAAAGCAACAACAGCTGTTCATTTAATGAATGTAGGTTATAAGACAAATCATCTAGGCTTTATTTTTATGAGGCTAGGTCTCTAGCCAAGGAGCCCTGGGAGTGTAGTGGGTTACATGTTGTGCTGCTAACTACAAGGTCAGCAGTTCAAATCCACCAGCTATTCTGCTGGGGGAAAAAATGAGGCTTTCTGCTCCTGTAAAGATTAACAGCCTGGGAAACTCTATACACGGTCGCGATGAATCAGAACCAAGTCTAAGGCATACCACCACCACAAGGTCTCCAGCCAAGACCAAATTCCTCCCTGTAGTCAGGGATGTTCAGGTGACCAAGGGGCATCACAGAGAAACACTTCTACAACAAACACACTCAGCCTTCCATGGAGATTCAAATAATTGCCCTGAAAATGTTTACCTAAAAATAAATATATTTTCCACAAAACCAAGGACAGTGAATTCTTTGCTTTGTAAAAGTTACATTAAAGACCAAAGAAGCTTATTGAAAACCTAATAATACATAAAAATTGCAACTAAAAGTACTTAAAAATTTTTTTTTCTGATTACTTAGTATAAAATCTATAAGGACCCAAAAAATTTCAAGAAAACTAAAACTACCCATTATCATCATTAGAGAAAATACCAATATTTTACTGAACTGCTTTAATCTTTCTTCTAGACATTCATATTCTTAAAATAATTTTAAAACATCAGGATCATAGTAAGTATGTTTGTTAAGGGCCATAGAGTTGGTTCTGATTCACAGAGATTCTGTGTAGGGTTTCTAAGGCTATAAATCTTTGTAGGAGCAGAAAGCCTCACCTTTCTTCCATGGAGTAGCTGATGGGCTTGAACCACTGACTTTGTGGTTCCCAGCCCAGTGCTTATCCCTCAGATTTGTACTTCTAAGACATCAGAAGTCTGCTTCTCTGGAGAATTGCTGTCACTGCTTTCCATCGCTGAGCAGTACCTGAATCAGCACAAGCACTAAGATCTTTTTCATTTGAGTAAGACACCCACTACATTTTTAAGTTGGATTAAAGATAAACTATACTTAAGATCTTGGTGTGTCCTGGTGTGGTGCTGTGGGCTAATGCATAAGACTGTAAAGTCTTTTGAACTGCAAGGTCAGTGGTTCAAACTCCTTGGAAACCCTATACAGAGTCGCTATGAGTCAGAATTGACTCGATGACACTTAACAACAACATATTTAAGATCTTAGACTATAAACTCATATAAGAAAAGACATATTCAAAGTTACTCATCAAAATAGGATGGAAATATTTAGATGATATAAGTACAAAATTTTTTAGTGTCCTTATAATTACACTGTGAACGTATATACAAGGAGACTTCAAAAAAGTCCATGGAAAATGGAATTAAAAGGCAAAAGAATTTTTTCAGGAACTTTCTGAAGCTTACTCATATTTCGCTATTTATACTTAGCACCCTTGGTGAGAATGCTCAGGTTGAAAAAGGTTTTTCTTGATCACTAATCCAAAAGATTTAACAATGTGGTGAAAATTCAATACGTGTTTCATTAATGTGATGTATTTTACATCTAGGGAGAATGAGAAGTTTGTGTTTGAACTGTCGGGAGGGAGAAGGGACTGCTTAAGCAAATAATGGTGTGATTGTGGAAAAAGATTTCTCTGTAAGATGAGAAGATATTTTCAGGCATCATAGATTGAGCTAACTATAAATAATTTATATCCATACATTAAAACAAGTTCCCTCAATTTGGTTAGCCAAACTCAAATTGTTTTATTTAGAAATAATAGAATCGCATTTCCTTTTTTTTTTTTTTAAAGGGAGAGAGTGGAATCTAACTGGTTTGAGGACCATTAAAACCTTGAGTTCAGTTTGATACACTGTTGTCTAGTCACAATGAAGGATGGTAGTAGTGTGCCCTGAAGTCGGTTCCGACTCATAGCGACCTGGCACAGGGTTTCTGAGGCTGTAAATCTTTATGGGAGCAGACAACCTCATCTTTCTCCTGCAGAACTGCTGGTAGTTTCGAATTGCTGACTGTGAGATTAGCAGCCCAACTCGTAACCACTGCGCTACCAGAGCCCTACAATTAAGGATGTTGTTGTTGTTAAGTGCCTTCGAGTCGATTCTGACCCATAGCGACCCTGTATAGGGTTTCCAAGGAGAAACTGGTGAGCTTGAACCACTGACCTTGTAGTTCAAACGACTTTGCAGTCTGATGCATTAGTGCACAGCACCACACCAGGACTCCACAATGAAGGATGTTGTTGTTGTTAAGTGCCATTGAGTTGGTTCCGACCCATAGCGACCCTGTATAGAGTTTCCAAGGAGCAACTGGTGAGTTTGAACCACTGACCTTGCAGTTCAAACAGTTTTGGAGTCTGGCACATTAACCCACAGCGCCACACCAGGATACTGTTGTTGTTACGTGCTATGGAGTCAGTTCCGACCCATCGTGACCCTGTATAGGGTTTCTGAGGCTATAAATATTTACGGGAGCAGAAAGCCTCATCTTTCTCCCGCAGAACAGATGGTAGTTTCGAACTGCTAATCGTGAGATTAGCAGCCCGATTCGTAACCACTACACTACCACAGATAGCCAGGAGGTTCACCAAAGCTCAAGCCATCTATCAATTCTGATGCACAGCAACTTTACAGAACAGAAAACTATCCCATAGGGTTTCTAAAGCTGCAAATCTTATGGAAGCCGATTGTCATATCTTTTTCCCTAGGAGCGACTGGTGGGTTCGAATACTAGACCTTTTGGTTAGCAGCTGAGTGCTTTAACCACTGTGCAACAAAAGTCCTTGTCAGGAGGCAAAGGTACAAAAAATGTAAAACAATCAACACAGCCCTTCACTCTAAATTCTGACCCCAAGACAATAACCACTTACTGAGCACTTAATTTTAATAATTACCAAATAACTAGGTACTGAGGCCACAAATTGTGACTGGAACACTTATGCTCCACATCCCCAAGAGTTTAAGGTGTTCCCACCCCTCAAGCCCTGGTGTGGTGCTGTGGGTTAATGCTCTGGATTTCAAGGTCGGTTTATACCACAAGGTCAGCTGTTCAAGCTCACCAGCTGCAACTCAGAAACCCTATACAGGGTTACTATGAGTCAAAACTTACTGATGGCACTTAACAACAACCACACTCAAGGAGTCCACCCACAAATAAAAGACAACTCTCCTCTCCAATATTCCTTGCTACTCTTGACTCTTCACTTTGTCAATATCACCTAAGCAAACTACTTGGTGATGTAAACCAGCAGTAGCACATCTCTTTCTTTTACATAATGCCAACAGCAGGGCTGGAGAAGTACAGTATGTAAGAGCTGAGCATTTAGAAACCACCTAGCTGATTCCATTCACACCAATAAAGATAAGAGAGGATACAATTCATACAGGGTCACATAGAAAGATATAGCCAAGTCTGAGTATCCTTTCATATTTGAGAAGACTTCAAAAAGTTTGTGGAAAAATTCCACTATCTCTCTCTCAATTCTACTTTCCATGAACTTTTTGAGGTCTGAAGAACTACATGCTATCCAACTACTACCAACTATTCTGAAAGGTCTCGGTAAAGTGGGAGAAAACTCTAAACAAAACAATAACAAAAAAGAAACCAGGCTTACTGCTCAGAGAGATTGGTAGAACCTGCATTGGTGGACCTTTGCCACCCTTCAAGTCTGGAACTGAATTCCCCCGTTGCTTAAATTTCAGCCAAGCAATAAATATATATATATATTGTTGTTGTTATGTGCCCTGGAGTCGGTTCCGACTCATAGCGACCCTGTACAGGGTTTCCGAGGCTGTAAATCTTTACGGGAGCAGAACCCCTCATCTTTCTCCGGCGGAACAGCTGGTAGTTTCGAACTGCTGACCCTGAGGTTCGCAGCCCGATTCGTAACCACTACGCTACCAGAGCAATATATATATAAATATATCGGGGAGAATAACACTAATGAGATACACACACCATAGAATGGTCAACCATCAGAGGTTAGAAGGGCAGCATTTACCTAAGAACAAAATTCAGAAGGAGAATGAATGGAAGTAAGAAACACAAGCAGGAAGTGGGTTGAGTAAGTGTTGTTACACTGAGGGGATTGCAATTGAGATGAAACGATCATTTGTTGAATGTAAAACTGATGTTTACTCCATAAACCTTTAATTTACAAGAAGCTAAAAAGATTAAAAAAAAGATTTGCTTTGCAATCCATCTCAATATTTCCACTAAGAATTAGCTCAATGATTTCCATGTTAATGATCTGTTAGATTACAAAGTAGAATCTGGTCAGGATGTTCAACTCTAGTGACTTGTGGTTACAATGAACATGGATGAGACTTACCTCATGACCTCACAACTGTTGTTGGTAAGTTTCTGAGGAGCAGCTGATAGGTTTGAACGTAGACCTTACAGTTAGTAGTCCAGTGCTTAGCCTACAGCACCACACCAGGAGCTCAGCATGAAAGACCACTGACCAGCTGTCCCACCCAAAGTGTAAGCTGATGACAATAGCATCCTAGTATCAGAGTTTATATTACTCTTCAGCCCCAGAAGTTTGAGGAAAGTAAGGGTAACAGAAAAAGAAAGGAAGTTTAAACAGAAAAAAAGTTACCTGTGTTAATAACTTTAGGAATTGGATCGATTTCTTCATCTACAACAAAAGGTTCTGGCCTGGGGAAGACTTGTACATCAGCAGTTAGGTGGCCACACTTGAGAATAGCGTGGAAAGGTGTATATGCCAAATCTATCAGCTTTCTAAAATATAATGATTAATTGTTACAGGGAGAGTGACATGACACATACAAAAAATAACTGTTTTAGAATGCAAAATTTCTTTTCATGTTGACTCCAAAACTAAGGTCTGATCATTTTAGAAATACAATAAACCCTGACATTTCTGATGAGCAAATTTTAATTTGTTTTAATTCTGAAAAAGTCCAAAAGCAAGCTAATCTCTGAAATTGCTCCTTGTGAGGAAATTGGTAACTACAGGCATTTTAGATTTAGTTATGCTTACTTTACAAGGGAATGAATTTTAAAAAATTACCAGTACCAATCATTTTATCTGAAAAATGTGCATTATGGGGGAAATGAAATGACAAAAGTAAAATAGATTTCCTTTCTGGCTGGATGTCAAATTTTAATACTGGATTATAAAGAAGGCAAAAAAGCTCAAAGCATATACTCACCCAAACATAGACTGTACATTTTTCAAGCACAGCGGGCCGTCAATAGTAAAAATCTGCCCTTCACCATTGTTTAAATCTATGAGACGTTCAAGGCAATCCAAGGAATCAGTGCTCTGAAGCTACAAAGCAAAACAGGTAACTTCTCTACAGTGGCAAAAAGAGCCACGATAGTCACAATGCCCACTACAATCTCAAAGACAATGATTTTTTTTTACATGCTGAGTATGACAGGAAAATAGCTATACCAGTTTTAATTCAAGGTTGTCAGAGAGAAACACTATGTAAAATGACACCAGTAGACCTATTTCATTCAGAAGCTGCTTTGCAAATATTTTGACGTGACACAGCTGATAATTAATTCAGCATCTTCCCTGCACAAGTTTCTAACACCTTTTGATAAGAACTGTCATTATCACCATTTTATAGGTAGAAAAATTGAGGTGAAGCAAGGTTACATAACCACCAAATAATGGAAAAAGCATGAAATCAACCATTTATCAGAGTACTGTTACTTCACACACACACACACACACACACAAAGTCAAAGCCTATGTCTATCAACATTTCTGGAGAAATGAAAGTTATGAAATCCTAAGCGATATTTACACCAAAGAGAACAACTGTCTCAACCCTTCATTATCTAAAGCCTCTGTGAGAACGTGAGAAGTAGGACGGGTAACAACTCTAGTCATGCTCCCCGCAACAAGACAATCCTCTCAAATCTCAAGGAACATTTGAAACTCAAGAGGCTTTTCAAATACTAAGAGGCTTCAAAAGCTTGTGGAAAAAGTCCATAATCTTTTAACTCCATTTTTCCACGAACTTTTTGAAGTTCTACTCTCCCCATCCATATATTTAGATCAGTTTCAGCTGAATTTGGAGTTCAAGGTTATAGTATATACTGTATAATATCAATGTATACTGAAAAAGAAAGAGAGAGAAGTACCTTATTTACTTAAAATGAAACAAACTTAGTAAAAGGCATTACCTCTTCCAAATTTGCCATGCACATGATGTACAACTTAGATGGGAAAGGAAAAGGGAGTGGAAACCTGTTGCTCTCACTTCGTTGATTGTGAGTAGCTAGGGAATGCCTCAGTGAACCTCTACCAATGCCAAGACAGCCATCCGTCACCAGGACCACCTGTTTGCAAGAAGAGGTTTGTACATTAAATAAACCTACTGAAAATAGTTCCACTCAGCCATAGCTTCATCACTTTACATTGCCAGACTTACCACTACAGGAATGAACTACTGAGAAAATCACTAACATGAATCAGCCTAACACTTTGGCAAGTAAAAGATGATAGACAATATGCCTCTATTTAAAGGATGTTTGAGAGCAGGTCAAACAAAGTCATTTATGATACATCAGAACAGGAGTTGTATGGGCAGCGGAGTATGTTGCAGAAGGGGCACGAGGAAACCTTGTGGATAATGGAAACTTGGTGGGTATCTTAACTAGAGTGGTAGTTGTAGGCTGTTGGATGCTGCTATGAAGTTGAGCTGACTCAGGGTGATCCCAGGTGTTCACAGTAGAACTGCTCCATAAGGTTTTCAAGGTTGTGATTTTTTGGAAGTAGATCGCCAATCCATCCAAGGCACCTGTAGGTGGATTCTAACTATCAAACTTTCAGTTTGTGTCATTCAAGGACTCCTAGTAAAGTCATGTGTTGATTTACATTCACAGTGCATTCTGTGAAATAGGACATTATGTGATTTGGATGTTGTGAGTCATAGCATTCACTGATCTTCAACCTTCATGCTGTTTAATAACCTTGGTTTCACTCCCAAGTCGATACTTCCCCGTTGCCTCTTGCTGCAGCTTTATTGTGCTTGGAAGCCATGATGCACTTCATGGAATTATTTTTGAAAAAAATCAAACAGACAGAGATAATGCTACTACACTTAAGAGACATGTGAGACTCAAGATTGGATGTTGCTGCCTACAAGTCAAAGCACACACTGCTATACATTCAACTATGTTAGTAAATAGGGAAAGATCCCATTAAAATCATGGAAGAAAGTATAGTAAGCACAGTATACACATAGTATAACAAGCATTTATTATCAAGACATAGGACGGGGCTTAGGAAATGCCATTATCTTTTAATTCCATTTTCCCATTAACTTGGTGAAGTCTCCTCTTACATGTACTGTACTGTTACGCACCTGGCAGCATCATCATGTTGCATACAAGAGACATGAGATAAATGTGTTGCACACGGAAGCTGTTGTGTTTACTATGCCTGGTTACATCGCTATGTCCCCTTCTCTGATTGGGGTTTCTGCACTCTATAATAACCCTACGGGACCATGGACATATATGTGGTTGGATAGTGCCCAAATGGATGTTATGCCGTATAAGGATGTAGTTACATAGGTATATGCATTTGTTAAAATGCAGTGAACTGTGCACTTAATGCCTATGTATAATTAAACCTAAAAAAAAAAAAAAACAAAAACCAAGAAAAAAAAATAAATCTACTGTTTTAGCTATCTAATTTTGCTATCACAGAAGTGAGTGGCCTTAATGAAAATAAATTCATTTAATTATCGTTTAGGAGGCTAACAGTCCAAATTCAGGAATCCTGGTGTGGTGCTGCAAGATAAGCAGTGGACTGCTAATGATAAGGTTGGTGGTTCAAACCCATCAGCAATTCCTTGAAAACCATACTCAGGGCATTTAATACCACTATTGTTCAAATCTATGCATCAACTGCTAAAACCAAAGATGGTGAGATTGAAGAATTCTACCACCTCCTTCAATCTTAAATTGATCAAACATGCAATCAAACTTTACTGACAATTACGGGTGAATGGAGTGGAAATGTGGGAATCAGAGGAAGGATCGGTAATCAGAAAATATGGTCTTGGTGATAGAGATAATGCTGGCGATTGCATGATAGAATTTTGCAAGACCAATGACATACTTAAGGAGCTCTGGTAGCGTAGTGGTTATGAATGGAGCTGCTAACCTCAAAGGTCAGCAGTTCGAAACTACCAGCTGTTCCACAGGAGAAAGATGAGGCTTTCTGCTCCCGTAAAGATTTACACCCTCGGAAACCCTGTGCAGGGTCGCTATGGGTCGGAACCGACTCCACGGCACTTAACAATAATAAGAATGGCATACTTACTGCAAATACCTTTTTTCAACAACATAAATGGCAACTAGACAGATGAAATACACAGGAATTAAATTGACTACAACAATGGAGAAGCAGACAGCCAAACCTTTCTTCTGCAGAGTGGCTAGTAGATTTCAACTGTCCATCTTTCAGTTAGCCGGTAGCTGAGAGCTTAACCACTATAAGCCACCAGGGCTCCTTTCCACATTTATCGGGTTCAGGATTGACAACACCTATTTTACGGGATAAAATTCCATCCATACTATCTACCTTGTAACACTTGAAAAAAAAAGGGGGGAGAGGGGAAGCAACCAGAACCAATATTTACTTAAATATATTAAATTAAGATTCCCATGTCTTAGATAAGGAATTAGGCACATGAGGTACTTCTGTAAAAATGGCACAAGGATACATTTCACACGTCTCCCTATGAAGAACTGGAACAGATGTCTAAATCATGACACTTAAATTTTCAAAGGATAACAAACTTTAGCTTTGATCCATGAAAAACACTAACTACTTTAAAAACATGTTCATAAAGGCCATTTAGCCAGACATGTGCAAGACTTGAAAAACACACCCCAATTAACAATCTCAAAATGTCAATAAAATATGATAGCTGAAAAATCATTTTCCTTTCCTCACTGCTTCAGAGTAGGCCTGTGGGGGTAGACTTTCCAAGCATCCCAGGGGAGGATTATATTCACTCTCGCCAATCTAGCCAAGCACCTTGATAATAATAGGCCTTAAACGGTATTAGGTGTTTGCACCACATGAAGTATTGAGATTGGCAGTTACTTCTAAAGCTCAGGAGTGTTTAATAGAGGCCCCATAGAGGGATGATTTTGGGGGGAAGATCGTGAATGGGCTATAAGGCAATTCCCTCTTCTAGTATCAACAACTGCTACATAATGATTTATGATGTTAGCATTCCAGCAGCTGTATTATAATGAAATATTACATGTTATACCAGAATGAGTTGGAACTGACTTGATAGCACTTAACAACAATATCAAAATGAGACACTTTACTCAGACTTGGTGGCAGCTGATTTGGTTTGATTTTTTATGGGTGCTTTAATGCTCTAACAGCAGAGATGAGTAGTTGCCACAAAACCTTACAAAGTCTCAAATACTTGCTACCTGGCCCCTTACAAAAAAACTTTGCTGACTCCTGTTGCGGTGGTGGTGGTTGTACGCCGTGGGGTCGGTTCCGACTCATAGTGACCCTGTGCAGGGTTTCCGAGCTATAAATCTTTATGGGAGCAGAGAGCCTCATCTTTCTCCCGCAGAGTGGCTGGTAGTTTCGAACTGCTGACCTTAAGGTTCGCAGCCCGATTCATAACCACTACGCTACCAGAGCTCCTTGACTCCTGTTATCTGTGAATATAATTTTCCTTTTAACCATTTTTGCTTTCCTTCTTCAAAATATGCTATCATTTTTCAGAATATTTGTACCAAATTTCCCATTCTCTTTTTCTGCTACTACTTCAGCTTTGGTCTGACTTTAAGCAAAACCAGGGGTGTGGTGGTGTAGGAGAGGCTCTGTGGTTGAAACCCACCGTCTCTCCTTGGTAATCCCATACATGGTGGCTGTGAGTCTGAACTGACTCAACATCACTTAACAACAACAAAATTTAATATTGATTTGACAGTACTAACAATGATTGGTCGTTTATGGGACCTAATATGGTCTCTAAGTAGAGACTTGAAAGAAATCAATTATTTCTCCCTTTTTAGGCAACTCAGATAGTTAAGATGGTTAAATTTGGTACCTTAAAATAATGAAGACAGACTGGTGTGTTGTGCTGTTGTTTATGATTCTATCACTTAAGGTCATAATCACTCTATCCAGGGAGTTTCATTGGAAAATTCCACTGTGAGCCCTTTGCGCTTTATACAAACAGAATTAGTTTGCAATAAGTCAATTTACTAGGAGGACGCTTTCCTCAAGGCATAATTTTGCTACTTTCTAAGCACATTAGTGTTGATTTAATGTCTTCTTTTAAAAAGATACCAATAGTGTATAACATAGTTTGTGGAGATGAGAATGTATGCTGTGTCAAAACCTAAAAGATAAGTGAAGAAGCTCAGTAGCTACTGTTTGTAACTTAGGGCAATGAATCATAACTGATCCTTACCTGGCAAGGAATTGCACCACCCCATTCTTGCTGAACAATATTGCAAACACCAACTAATGCAGACTCCAAGCAGGTTTTATCATAATCATCCATATTACTTAGCGCTTCCTGAGTGAATACAAGATACCATAACTCATTATTCTTTACTATTTTAGTTTGTCATTAAAAAAGCAAAACAAACTGCTCACAGATAACTGTTACACAGGGGACATGGTATTTCTGAGAACCCAAGCATAGGCTCTTAAAATTAAAACAAAGAACTTAAATACATCACAAATATAATGACAAAGAAAATGTCCTGAGTACTACCTATCTCCTAAGCACCATTATAAGAAAGTGTATGTAGTTAATCACCATAACAACCCTATATGGTAAGGATCATTAACCCTATTTTAATGAGGAAACTAAGGTACAGAGAAACGAGGTAGTGGCCCAAGGTGCCACAGCCTGGATTTGTACCCAGGCAGTCTGACTTGCGGCCCCTCCTTGGTCTTAAAAATTACTCCACACAATTTATATAGCAAATCTCTAAATTTTGGAACTGCTGAACATCAGATAGTCTTATATTAGTTACTCACTTATAAAAAATACAGTGCAATTAAAAAAAAAAAAAGTTTGTGAGTCACTTATATACATAAAATCAAACTCTCTATATTTTATATGCATATATAGAATCAAACTCAATTGATCTTGGATGTCTAACTGCCTAACAATTATTACACTGTTCAGTTTAATTCCACAAACATTTATTGACTGCTGGCTGTGGGCAAGGCATTGGATTGGAGATAAAAGTGATTTAGAGATGTCTAAATATCACCAACAGCATCTTTGGAAGGAAGTATCTTCCAATCAAATTTAAAACATAATAATTTCTTGGCATTTTTTGAAAAGGAAATAACATAATTACTCGAAAACAAGGGTCTTTGTAAGAAAGGGCTATTTTTCATCTCCTAAAGTTTTATGTGAAAGTAGCAGTTCTGCCGAAGTAAGGCCTGGTGACCTGCTTTCATAAAGACTACAGCTATGAAAACCCGGCAGCAGAGCAATCCCACTCTGTCTGTCACACAAGGGCTTTACACAAGTCGGGGGCTGACCTCACAGAAGTTAACAACAAGAGAAGTGGGTAAGGACTGAACCTAAAGACTCACAACTTCAGGGAATGAGGCACTACATCTTGAGATGCTCCCCTCCCCTTCTCACAGAGAATTCCAGAAAACCAAGAGAAGGAAAGCAGGTAACAACTCAGAGCCATACCAAAGAAAGGCATAAGACCCACAGGTTGTGAATCCTTGTTTATAGCTACACTCAGATATTAAGTATACATAGTTTTAAATATTCCAAGTTTCAAATATTCAGTACAATATTTATCACTGCTCTTCTCCCTACAAATTTAGTTACCTGTAGGGTGTTATAGTCTCGTGTGAAGGGGACCATCAGCTCCCAGAGTGATGAAAAAACCACCAGGGCTGTAAATTCGAGCTTGTAATTTGTGGCCATGTGCTCAAACAGCATCGTCAAACCATGGGCTGCAAGGTGTTTTCGCTGATATTCCTCAGACCCCTCGAGAGACACAGGCCGGGTCATGGAGAGCGATACATCCATTACCACCACTGTCGGCATGATGACAAAGATCCCAGGGTTTCCAACCAGAATGCAGACAGACAGCAGTAGAGAGGGAAATGCTGTAGGAAACAAATCAAAAGAGGGCTTACATATCAAGGAGAGAAAAGAATATTTTCTTCCACCACAATTTCAACCAAACTTCCTAGAAATGAGTGGGGGCAAACCACATTTAAGGTGAAGTACGCATTGTTGCTGTTGTCAGGTGCCATCGAGTCGGAACCGACTCATAGTGACCCCACGCACAGGAGAACAAAACAATG